ACGAACGGCTGAGTACAAAAATCGTATAGCTTGATATTACAAGACCACGAGCGGAAGTCACTAAAGTGGTTGCACCTCAAAAGATACTACCACTAGTTCGACATATTTCTAGATATCTTTATGTTTTTCCATTATTTGGACCAACTAAGGTTGTTGTAACTAAATCTTCGACAGGACGATCTTGCTACTAATAAAGTCTTCGATGTAATACTTGAGTTTTTATATTCATTATGAAATAAATTTCTCAAGTAGGGGGCATCATATGAATATCTACATATCTACGACCAATCAAGAAACTCGAAATTGGGACAGACCTAGAAGCAAGTCAAACAGGCAAAAAGCCAGTAACGACTCAGCATGGTCAAAACTAAAGCAGAAAAATACAGGATATAAAACTGTTTGGCATAAAAAGCCAGGCAAGTTAGAAATCCAAAGGTATCGACATTAGTTCTATTAAAGTTAGATCCCAAAGCCAAAAGTAAATGGTTTAAACTCATATGAGAATAAAACCAGGCTCAGGAGACTTGATTATGGCCAACGAAAAATTGGAAAAAAATTTCCAAATCATGAATAGTATCGACAAGCTCAAGGCACAAAACCAGTGGTAGGAACCAAGCAGCTAAAATCCAAAATTGGATCAAAATCTTTTGGTAGAAGCTCTGTGCATTAGAAACCTTGACATTATTAGCCACTGATATATATATAAATGAGGCTATAGAATGATCTCGCGGTAACGACAAGCGACAGGTACTCTCAAAACAAAGTCTCGATGCAGTTATTCATCTTCTGTTTTGAGAGTGGGGGCCATTGTTATAGAGAACAAAAACGACCCGAGACGAGACAATTGAAGCCCGAGATCATCGACTGGGGGAGACCGACCCACGACGTAACGGGTCGGCCCAAAGGACGACCTAGAGACGAGGTCGTCATGGCGCCTCGGCGCCTACTTCTCAACAATCGCCTTCGGGCCAAGATACTATGTGGGCCTCCTTCGCTCGGATCTACATCAGGAGGTTAAACACACCTATTCGAGGTCGAGGTCGATCATTGGGTCTTGCAAATCCGAATTAGGGCTCAACTACAAGAAGGTTCTGGAACCACCCTCACAGCTATAAATAGCAGTGCACCTAACCCTAGAGAGGAAGTGACTTATCTCTAGCTTATTATTTTCTCAAGTCTCCCTCGCTAACTTAGGCATCGGAGCCCGTGTGACTGAGGTGGTTTGGTTTTGCAAGTATTGGTTTCACTATAATCGAGTTAGGTGTGTGCGAGAAGAAGAACCGGAGGGTCAAAATCCACGCATCAACAACATCCATTTTAATTTCTAAATTCTAAAAAATGGATTGCTCTTAATAAATTAATAGATGGGTGGTGTTGACCAACAACATTCTTATTATTTTCGATCAAAAGATCAGTTTGAATCTTTACTTTCACGTGTACTTATTGGTGAACATGTATTTACATCTTGTATTTATAAATAATTTTTTAATGTTGGCTTTCACAATTTACCTTTATGAAGGTCTATTTGATTTGTGACCTAAAAACAAAAAATTAAAATTTCATTTCATTTTGAAATTGAATCTCAACTTAAAAAATCAATTCAATTTTAGTAATATATTTTTACGAGGAATCATTAATTAAATATTTAATTTAATCTAAAATATAATTAATTAATGGATTAAAATATATTTTATAAATTTTGTATAATTACTGTTTTACAATATTATATAAAGTTTTATATGTTTTAATTATAATAGATATGAAATGAGTTTACAACCTATAAAATAGTATATTTATTAAAGTTTGTATGTTTTTTTAATATATTTCTTCGTATTTTAAATTTAAAATTTAAAAACATTAAAAATCCAAAAAAAAATAGATTTTTTTATCACATAATCTAAAAAGAGTTTGAGAAACTAAATATATTTATGAATCCATTTGATTCAATTAATTTTAAAATAAGAAGTGGAATTCGAATATTTATACCACCAACATTTTTTTCTAACCATAAAAAACATTTAAAATCAGTGCAAGCCCATTAAATAAATATAATATATTATTTAATAAGGTATTAACATGTGAATGAAAGTAGTAGGTAATAGTATTAGAAATTTTCCCCCGCACCAAAACGTTTACTAAGTCGCTGAGTCAGCTCACTCAAACTTGTTACTTCATCGCATTCACAACACACCCACAATTTTTTCTTTTTAACTTCTCGAATCATTTTGGTACCTACACTACACATGAGTGATTACCCTTGTTTACAAGAAAGGAAAAAAAAAGTTAAATTCATACTTACCAATTTTGTTTTATTTGGAAATAGTTATTTATTGCTTACTTTTTCAACTTCCCATCTCTTACAAGAAGCGGACCAGTAGTTAAGGAGCGTGAAAATTCACAGTACTTAATTACCATATTACCTACTTTTTTTTCCCTTCACAATCTGGGTTCTATTTCTGTAGAACAAATCAAGAAAGGAACTCTTGCTTTTTTATGTCATTTACGTATACAATAGGATCTGGATATTGATCCAATTCATCTAATTATTCTTATTTTGTAGTACAATAATCTACTGTATTTCGCTTCAACATTTTTTTGAATAAACAATGGTCCACCTTCTTAAATGATCTTGACATGAAAAAAGAGTTAAAAATAGTCTAGAAGTTTATCAAGGAAATTGCCGTGAGCGGTTTTAATTGGATGGTGTCAATGAGATATAATAGCATTTTGGAAAACTTATTATTCTAATATTTTGTCGTGTCACCATGAAATTATTTTTTCATCCCTGATTTATTTATTCCTATGCAATACACAATATAATTTCCACTTTTTTGTTTTGGTACTTTTCTTTTTTATCTTCCATCTATCTCTATTATTTACTTTTCATCTTTTACTTTTACTATTTTTTCCTTTTTCTAAAATAAAAAAAAATTCAAGCGTTTCCTCATTTTTCTCTAAATTCAAATTCAAAATATTCCATTCAAGTTTTATAAAATTGCTAATTAATTTAATTCACAAAATAAATCTCCCTGTCAAATCACAAACCCACAAAATCTTCCTGTACAAAAATTTAAGGATCTGAAATTTAAAATGAGTATCACTCAAATATTTCAATCTTCGACTCTTTTTGGCTATTTTTTGTTTGAATTTTATTTATTTATTTTTCTTTGTTGGGTTGTATTATTTTATTCAATTTTTATTTATTTACTTTTTTCTTCCTCAAATTTTGCTATGAATAAAATCAAATCTCTCCCCTCGTTTACCTCTCCTATTTGCTCTCTCTCCCTCTCCCCTATCTCATTATTTCTCTCTCTACTTGCGTTGCGTTGTGTTTGGTGTTTGGAATTTGATAGAAATGATTTCAAATTCCAAGATCCGAATTCTAATTAATTGCGTTTGGAACCAAATTAATTTGAAATCATGGAAATTAAAATTTATTGTTTGGATGTTCGCAAGAAATGACAAGAAAGCATAACATGTTATGTCCTTACCATTTTGCATGATATTGTATAAATAAATAACAATAATATAATGTTATAATATGAAAGAGTAATCTCAACTACATATAAAAATAAAATAATTTAATTCAATTAATTTAATAATTTAAAACTTGGCAATGAAATTAAAAAAAAACTAATAAATTTCTCTCTTGAAATATATATTTTGTGAATTATTTTAAATCTAAACCAAAATGAGGGTTATAACTAAACAAATTTAAATCACAATTCAACGTTCTCTTATCTTTTTTCATTTATTTTCCTCTTTATTTTTATGCTCTTTTTTTTTCAAAATAATACTTTCACTAATAAAAAGGTAAAAAAAAAAGCAAAAAATAGTTTTAAAAAAAAGTAATGAGAGATTTTAAATGTAGAAACTACTCTAAACAAAATTCATTGAAAATATTACAAAGCAAAACATAAAATTAATTTATATTTTGACTTAATAGTAAAAGGGAGACAAAAGAGAAAATAGTATGCAATTTGTCTAAATAAAATAAAGGTGGAGTGATTAATTTTTAAAAAAAATGAAAAATCTATTTTTTAGCTATTTTATAGGATAAATTTGGAATTTGTTACTTTTTAATTCCAAATCAATCCAACGTATTTGTAACAGAATTTTTTTAAAATTTCAAATTCTAAATTAGAGGTTACAAACATAGGTTACGGATATTTTTTTCCCTCTCCCTCCTCTCTCTTGCCTTTTCATCTCTCCTCTCTGATCTTTTTTTCTCCTCTTTCTTCTATCGCTCCTTTTTCTTCTCTCCTCTCTCTCTCTTGTATCTCTATCTCTCTTCTATGGCTCATTTTTCTTTCTCTCCTCTCTCTCTCCTATCGCAACAGTGGGCGTTTGGCTAATTTTCTCGATTATCTCGTCTCAATTATCTAGCTGGCAAATTTCCCCAATGATCTCTAACATTGGCGGGTTTTTCCAATTATGTCGCTCTCCTATCTTACTAACACTGGTGAACGAATAATAAAGATGAGAAATATGGATATTCTATTCAAATAATAACTTAATAACACCTCATCTTTCTAGTTTCTATTAACAAATTCTAACTGCTGCTGCTTCTTTTTTTTTTTTTTTTTTAATTTACGAAATAACTTAATAAAAAGATCAATATTAAAATTGACCATTTTAAAAGCAACCCACAAAATTGACAATTTTTAAAGATCAGACTGAAATTAAATGGTACAAAAAAGAAAAAAGAAAACTGACATTTCCACAAAGGGAACGCTGCAGAATCGTCACTGATCTTATTCACAGACTCATTTACGGGCCATGCACAGAAAATTTCAAGTGCTCCCTAACCTAGCAGCTATGGCGACGCCCACTTCTTCTGCAGAAATGTCTCACTTTCGCTCTCCCATCGCCGTTGAGTTTCGTTGCCAGTCGCTTTTGCCATTATCAACCACACATTCCTACTCCATTTCTTGTTTGCTCCTCGGCGTTGTTGATTGATTCGATTCCATATTTGAAGCTTTCTTTTTCCTCCTCTAACAATGGCGGAACCATCAGATTCCATTGTCGAAGAGAGAGAGGAATGGATGGTCTCACCTTTCGGCGGAGGCGATCGTGCTCCAACTCTTAGAACGGCTCATTTTCTCAAACCCTCGGTAAGAAGCCCCACGGAGGAGCCGGTGATTGAGTTTCCTTCGCTCTCCGCCGCTCCATTGATGCACAAATTGAAACCTAACGAGCGGCCATTGAACGTCCATTTTCCTGGATGGAGGGTGCGGCCGAAACTGTGGTTAGAATGGTTGGATCAATTGCATTCTACCTATCATTCTGTGTGGAAACAAGTCGGCATATACGAAGCGATCGTGAAATTTCGTTACGAAATTAGAAGAAACGATGATGTTATTTTTGGAATTGCGGAGAGATGGAATCCCAAAGCAAACACGTTCGTTTTCCCTTGGGGTGAAGCAACGATCACTCTGGAAGATGTTATGGTTTTGGGAGGGTACTCTGTTTTGGGGGAATCTGTTTTTTGCCCTCTTGGAACCCTAAAGTTGAGGGAAGTCGAAGAAAAACTCATCCAAGCAAGAATAGAAGTTGGGAGAGGAAGTTGTAGAAATGCCTCTCTAGTGGCGTGGATGAAGATGTTCAAGAACAGTGGGAGCGAAATCGAGCACGAAGCATTTCTCGTAGCTTGGTTGTCCGGTTTCGTTCTTCCAAACACGAGTTTGGTTCGAAAGCTGGTTTTCCCCATCGCTGTTCATCTGGCAAACGGTAATCGGATTGCTCTTGCTCCTCCAGTGTTGGCTGCCATTTACAGGGATTTGAGTTTGCTGAGAACAGCAACAATGGTTTCTGCCCAACGACTTGACAATTTTAGGGGCGGAGATTTCATATCAACGCTTGTTCTATGGTCACAGTTACAGTTAGTTCAGATTTGGGGGTGGGAGAGATTTTCAAATTGCCCAAACCCAACATTTCAAAATGCAGCAGCGACCGAGAATTTGCTCGTTGGCACAGAGTAAAATGTGGTAAGATTCATGATGTGAGGATTGCTGTGGACTTAGCAGGAGAGAAATTTCTATGGCGTCCTTACGCCATACGCGACTGGGCTCCAGAACTCTACCCAGAAAAAGCAAAATGGGCTGATCTAGGTATGGAAGAAGAAGTACATTCTTTTGCTCGATTCTTGAGATCGGATCCCCGATTGCTTGGACTTGATTGCACTGAACTGTATTCGCCACATCGAGTCGGAAGACAATTTGGGTTGGATCAAGATCTTCCAGGCTGCGTCTTGATTTCCAACAAGAACAACACACTCGGGAGTTTGAAGCTGTACATTCCTCCCAGGCTTTACGAGGCACAAGTTACAGCTCGTTATTTGGATTGGTGGAAGAAGTCGATGTTGGGTGGCAAGAAAAATCGTACCAACACGCCTCTGAAACTGGAATCAAGCCCAGTGAAAATGGAGATGGATTATTCAGATAGAAACAATAATTCCGATGTTCCACCTGGGTTTCCTCCAAAATCTTACCCCAAAATCGACATTGGCTTTCCACCCAGAAACGAGGCCACTGAGTCTGAGAATCAGAGTGATGAACCAATGGTTGATGAAACGATGACAACAGTGTTTCGGAAGAATGAGGATGTTGATGAAGGGAGTTCTTCAGCTCCAGCAGGGGATGGAGATGCTTTTGCTCCACAGAACTTGGTGGAAAAAGCTTCAGGTGAGATGTTGGAGATGGGCATGGAAGATGAGGGAGAAGAAAACAGAAGATGGGTGTGGGGTGATGAGGGAATAAGGTATGTAAAGGGAGTTACAGAGATGGAACTTGAAGCTCGTATTAGTCGGCTGGAGAGTTTGGATGCTGAAATACGCGCAGCAAGATTTGGGAACATGACCAATGGAAGCTGCTCTGGTTCTTGATCTTAGGAATTCTCATTCTCGCTGATTTCTCTCTCTTTTCGTTTTTTCCAATTGTTTCTTGAAACTGTTCCATTTACCGAGATTGGGGATTTGGAATCTTCCACCCCTTGACCCTTGATTTTGCACTTTCTTTTTTCCCTGCTTCTTGCGTTGTGCTTGATATTGCTTATTGAAAAAACTCACAGCTCATATTCAATGTCATCTTCTTTCACTTCAGGGAGCCAAATTTTTTGTTTCATAGTTTATTGAGTTATTTAAAGCTTGTTTGATTATTGAGCCAAATTTTTTGTTTCATAGTTTATTGAGTTATTTAAAGCTTGTTTGATTATTGAGTTATTTAAAGCTTGTTTGATAACGGCCTCGTGTTTCTCTTTTTTTGTTTCTATTTCTTTTTTAAATTAGAAACAGAAATATGTTTGGTAATCATTTATGTGAAACAAGAAATAGAAACAAAAACATATTTCTGTTTCTAATTTAAAAAAGAAATAGAAACAAAAATATGTTTGATAACTATTTCCTATTTCTTGTTTCTATTTTTTTTTTACAACTTGTAGGGGTGGAATTCAAACCTCCTGCCATCAGAATTTATACCTTATCAAGTTAGCTAATTAAACATATCTGTAAACAGGAAACGGAAATGTTACCAAATAAGGTCTTAATTGTCTTCTCTTTGATTTTTTCAGTTGATTTAAAATATTAGAGGTATTTTCAAATAAGAGAAAAAAGATAAAGTTGATTTGATTTTTTTTAGTAGAACATGTGGGGAGAGACTCTTGATTTAAGATATATGTCAATTAAGTTGATTTGATTTAAACGTGATATATTAAATTTTAGAGGGGGGATCACGATCATCATTTAATCTTGCAATCCTAATTATAAATAAATAAAACACATCTCCTATTTGTCGTACCCAAAATAAAATTAAAAGAAATCATTCTAATTTAAATAATAAACAAGTAAATAAATAAATGTTTAATTATTGTTTTTTGTCTTGTGTTTTCTACTTTTATTCATTTGTTTCTTCATTTTTTTTATCTCATTTTTATATTGTAATACTAGAATAACATTAAGATCTGGATTATGTTTTTCAAAAGTTTTGGATATTGAAACTAATATTTTTATGTTTTAGTGTCTCGAGATCTTAGTTTTTTTCTTTTAAATACTTGGAAGTCGAGTTTTGCTTCCTATATTCCAGATTACCTAAATCCAAGAGACGTAAATAGTTTTCTAACTCACTTGAAGGTTAAATTCTAAGCCTTGTCACTATGACCGTTACTAGGAGTTTTTTTTTTTCCAGATTTTGAATTTGAAAATTTAAAATATAAAATTCCATAAAAAAATGGTATAAATATAACAAAAAGATATTTAGTTCAATTTATAACAAAAAGATGATATTATTAATTATAATAAATTTACCACGAAAGATATTTAGTTGAATCTAAAATATATCAACTAATTTATTAATATATATGTTATAAATTTTGTATAATTATTATTTTACAATATTATATAATTTGTGATATATTGTGTTTTACCCAATTTAATTTTAATAAAAATAAAATGATTTTATAACTTGAAATAGTATATTTATCAAAATATTTATCTTTGTTTTTATTGTAATTTTTCATTTTAAATTTTTAAATTCAATAGTTGAAAAATATTAAAAAAGAATGTTGTGTTCGGGATTTTTATTATTGTAGATCACACAAATATTCATTGAATCAACTAAAATGTTTTTAAAATATCGCTTTTAAATTTGTTTTTCTTTTTTAATACGATGAGTTGAAGTCACAATCTTTTGATTGAAGATATATATCAATTACTATTTAGCTATGCTCGTTTTGTCGAATCAGAACCTTTTAATCATCAGATGGGTCTTAACAATCATGCTCAAGGTGACATTTTTAAATTTTTCTTAAACTTGGTTTGGCCCGAATTKCTTATGCCCCTAGTGAACTATGTTATAGAGCAATTCGGAGTAATTTCAATACTTTTTTTTTTCACACTTTGGTAAATCTTTTTATTTTATTTTATTTTCTTTATTATTATTATTTGAGAATTTTGGTAAATCGTTTTAAAAAATAATTCAATATTAATTTTACAAATTAATTATTAAAAAATTTCAGCTCGAAAATAGTAGTAAAATAATGTATTCATTGTAAAAACACTATATTTGAAATTAAAATTTAATGTATCATTTTTTATTTTTTGTTATTTCGAAAGTAAAGAGGACTATCACAGAACTTTTTTTTTTTAACAAATGACACAAATAAGGTAAGTTTGAAAGTATTTTCAAAAGTAGTGTATTGGATGCGATTTCAGGTATATCGCATTTAATGGCTGCGATTTTAAGCGAAATAGCAATTTTCATATGCGTGTTAAGTCGAAATTGCAGCCAATGACCGCGATTTTATGAAAGTCGCTGTCATTGACAGCGACTTCGGTGTTTTAAGGATGCTGTTGCGATTTGCGACTTCAGTGTTTTAAGGATGCTGTTGGGATGGAAATCGCGTGCATTTGTGCAAGTTATGTCTCTTATATCAATTATTTTGTCAATTGATTTCATGGTAAGAATTGTTGAGTATTGGTCATGATGTTCATTGTAAACCCTCTATTCATGGGTTTGATTCTCACGAATTTTAACTTTTTTTTTCTTCAATTTCTCTTTTAACCTTTTTTAAAATTTTAGATTTTCTCTTTTTACTTTTTGTTTTAATTTTTTTTTCTTTTAACTTCTTTTTATTTTCAATTGTACGTTACCGTTACCTACCTGTGATTCTTTTTATATAAATTATTGTAATATTTAATATGATCTAAGCTTTATTAAAAAAATATGTTCCTGACGAATGTATACTGTTACATATAATAAAATAAATTACATTTTATAGGTAAAATAAATAAAATCTATATAGAAAATAAAAAATAAAATAAACAATATTTTATACGTAAAATAAATAAATAAAATACATAAAAAAATATATAAATATTTTAAATGGAAAGTCATGTACAACTTACACGATTTCATTCTTCAAAGTCGACGTTATCTATGTCATGTTGGCACTTAAATCGCATTCATTGTATGCGATTTTTGACTTTGACTAGCATCTAACCTATTTTTGTCAATAGTTTGAATGTATAAGTTAATTTTGTAATTTTTTATTTATACTACATTTATTTTATTATTACTCTTAAATCTATATTATTTTTGTAATTTATTTTTTAAATTACATTATTCTTAAACTTTCTCCAGGATCACTTGATTTTGATTTATATATTATATGTTTATGCAAGGATATGCACAACAGTGTGTTCCAGATTGTAGCTCGAACTCGGCCTCCGGACCGACCTGGACGCTTGGGCGGACCTGCACAAAAAGGTGAGCACTCCGACGATCAAGTCAGTATAGGTCGGATTCCAAGTTTAGTTTGAGGCCAGAAATCGTCGTCGTACCTGATCGGGGAGTGAGGTCCTCTACTTATGGGTGGTAGTCCCGCTAATCTCGCGATGGTTACATTCGGTAATCTCGGGACCGTCGGTTACACCCGGTAATCTCGGGACCGACGGTTACGCCCGATAATCACGCCGCAGACAGTTGCTCATATCGGCCCCTACCAAGCTCCCCGGCAGGTCAGACCTGGGCCAAGTTCACCTCGGCCCTCATACTTAGCATTTGTCGACGTTAGTGGCGGCCATCTCGGCTATCCGAGCTGGGCATGACTCATGAGCNATTCCTTCGTTCTAATGACATTTGGCGCTTACCCACACCCATTCAAAGATTGATTCATGATACCTGTTCATGCAAAGATATGCACAACAGTGTGTTCCAGATTGTAGCTCGAACTCGGCATCCGGACCGACCTGGACGCTTGGGCGGACCTGCACAAAAAGGTGAGCACTCCGACGATCAAGTCAGTATAGGTTGGATTCCCAGTTTAGTTCGAGGCCAGAAATCATCGTACCTGATCGTGGAGTGAGGTCCTCTACTTATGGGTGGTAGTCCCGCTAATCTCGCGATGGTTACATTCTGTAATCTCGGGACTGTCGGTTACACCCGGTAATCTCGGGACCGACGGTTACGCCCGATAATCACGCCGCAGACAGTTGCTCACATCGGCCCCTACCAAGCTCCCCGGCAGGTCAGACCTGGACCAAGTTCACCTCGGCCCTCATACTTAGCATTTGTCGACGTTAGTGGCGGCCATCTCGGCTATCCGAGCTGGGCATGACTCATGAGCCATCTTGGAGCACCAACAGGGGTCCTCCATATAAATATTTTAAATGGAAAGTCATGTACAACTTACATGATTTCATTCTTCAAGGTCCACGTTATCAATGTCATGTTGGCACTTAAATCGCATTCATTGTATGCGATTTTTGACTTTGACTAGCACCTAACCTATTTTTGTCAATAGTTTGAATGTATAAGTTAATTTTGTAATTTTTTATTTATACTACATTTATTTTATTATTAGTCTTAAATCTATATTATTTTTGTAATTTATTTTTTAAATTACATTATTCTTAAACTTTCTCCAGTATCACTTGATTTTGATTTGTATATTATATATTATATTAAATGAAGAACGTAACCCATCGCTGATAAAAAGCGAAAAAATTAAGGCGATTTTTGAAATTAAAAAAAAAAGAAAAAAGAAAAGCCTCTCGTCCCAAAAATCTTACCGTTGGAGACCCTGAAAATCAATATTTATGATATTATAATAATATTTTAGATAAATATTTCCCTTATTTATTTCCTTATTTCCTTTTCCTTATTAGCCGCGGGTTTGAGAATATACATATAAATATCTCATTCTCATTCCACAACCACAACAGAACAATACTTATCAGAATTCAGAGCGGAGCGTCGCTACTATCTCTAACAATTTTCTTGTTGCGTTCGTCGATAATTCGTGAAGTTTGATCGATGAAGAAGCTGGAGATTGAAGTCCCGTCCAAAGGCTCCGGCGATGGCGAGGCCACTAAATCCGAGAGTTCTGATAATTGTTTTAGGTATATCGAGGGAATTACAGAGATGGAACTTGAAGCTCGGATTACTCGCCTCGAGAATTTGGCTGCAGAGCTACACGCAGCAAGATTTCGCAATCGCAACGCCTCTCTGTCTCCTAAAGGAAGCTCCAATAACATTCGAAGATGCTCCTTTTAATTCTCATTCTTTCTATCAGTATAATCGGTTCGATTTCCTGATCTTGATTTGCTTTTCTGCGATATTTCTTTTGCGTTCTTTTGATCTCAATACTATTTTGTTGTTCCGAAACCCTAATTTCAAGGGAACAAATGTATCATAAATTAGAAATCAAATTCAATCACTATTTTTCACCGTCATCTCGATGGAGTGCTTCTGATTTCCAGAAGTTCCTTTTCTTGTTTCACCAATTCGAATTTTAAAGTTTACGTCACCAATTTTTTAGAATTAAAAACAAAATATTTTGAGAGTTGAATAACCAAAATATAAGTAGCACTAGCACTAACCAAAATAATTTATTTTAGTGAAAAATAATCAATTTTTACTTTTAGCTTGGGATGGTGTATATTTTACCTAAATTTTAAATAACATTGGATTGAAATAGATATTTCAATTTTTATCCGAAGTTGAATTTCTACTTAAATTCACTTACTAAAAATATCGCTAAATTCACTAATTCCATTGAAGTCTTACACGGAATTGCTCTATTAATGCACCAAATTTACTACTGAACAAATCTTGCGAAACTAAATCAATTTCAACAAAAATATAATTACATTGCTTTCTTTCTTTTTAGTTTCATTCACACATATTTTTTGATTTATTAATTTTTTTAGAGAACATATTTTATAATTTATTAAATGCTTGTAAGAATATATATATATATATATATATATGCCTATAAGAATATATGTATAGATACATACATACGGCTTACATTTTTCACCCACTAATATATTTATGATTTTTCAAATTGAAAGTATGTTAGAAAGTAATGGCAACACTGACAGAAATTTAAGAAAAATATTGAACATTTATTTAAGTTTTTAAGGTGAATATCAAAGTCTAACGTACTATTTTATGAAATTGAAAATTTATGATAAAAAATAATACACCTTACAAAGTTCAAGGGTAAAAACACTTCAATCTTCACCGAACAATCTTTGAAATCTGATTCGCTTATAGCAATTAAAATGATTGTGGGAGAAATTCAAGATCTAGCCTTCTTGTGCTCACTTCCTCAAACGTTTATTAGCTTTTGCAAGATGTTAGAACAGTATTTGTCTAAAATGTAGCCTAAGTAACACCTCTATTATTTAATGAAGTATTTTTTCATACGTGGGTGTGGGGATTTGAACTCTTAATGCTTTGGTCAGAATCAAATGTTAATTACCACCCAGCTAAAATTGGAATTGAATAAAAAAAGTTAAAAAATTAACTTTTAACTTTAATATATAAATAATAAAATAACATTAGAGCATGATTTTGTCTAAAAAAAAGGAAAAAAGAAGAAGAATATGATGATTTATTTTAAACCTCGTTTGTTTGTTTTTTTTTTTCTTTTAAATTTTGTCTAAGCATCCTATATGCTCTCTCTCAAGAATTTGAGAACGCCGTTGAGCCTCCAATTCGAGTATTTTATAATGGGTCGAAATCCGGTTTGCTGCAAAGCAAAAAAATGGAAAATCTTCGGGCAAAGAAGCGAGGGGAACGCCTATTTTGGCTCTAACAAACTCGTGAAAATGGGGGAAGTAACCACTCACCCATCTCCCAAAATTAGCAGATTGGACTCAGTCTCTCTCAAATCCAAACTTGGTGGTTTTCGGACATGAAGAAACAAGAGAAAAAAACGAACACGATGGTAAAACTTCAGTTCCTTTTTCCCGAGAAAGACCAGAAAGGAAAAGAAAAGAAACGAAGACAAATTAAACATCTGGTTTTTCCGGGAAATAGCTGTTTTTTCACGTTTATCTCTTCTGTTGAATCCCCCCATCTCATCCTCTTAGAAAATCCTTTATCTCTGTTTTATGGGGTTGGAGCTGAAGACAACATTTGCCTTTGTTATGTGCTGATTTTTCCCCAAAATCACTTTTCCTGCTGTTCCATGCAACATTTTGACTGCCATTTCTGTTTCTGACCTTGTAAATAAACGGGAAGATGAATTGCTTTCAATGTTGCATGTCCGAGGAGAAGGTCAATAGGAAGTCTTTGAAAAAGAGCATTAAGGAGTATAATGACACCAAAACTTTAGCCTCTTTTGCCAACATTTCCTTCAAATCTGGTACGCTTTGTCCCTTGGCATTCACTTGTTTGGCTGCAATTCATTTCTCCATCCCAAATGGGTTCTAATCTTCCTTGTTCCATTATGGTATTTGGGCTTTGAATCGTTCTTTATATTAATTTCTTATATACACACCTAGAAATCAATTTATCTTCCTTGTTCCATTATGGTATTTGGCCCTTGGCATATGCTTTGAGAATTGGATGGATTGATGATGCCTGTAATATTTGGACCCTGTTGCTAGACAACATATTTTATAAGATCCTTGTGTTAAGACTTTTTTTTGCTAGCTGTTTGAAATTGTTGATCCGAAAAAATTGACTGTAAACTTGCAGATAGCAGCAGGCGAAGGTACATAACTGAGGAGATAAAGAAGTTAGGAAAAGGAAACATCTCAGCCCAAATTTTTACGTTTCGTGAGCTATGTGTCGCGACGAATAACTTCAACCACGAAAATCTGTTGGGAGAAGGTGGTTTTGGAAGGGTTTACAAAGGCGTCATTGAGGCCACGAAACAAGTACACCATGACACAATCTTTACTTTAATCATCATCTGTGCAACTCGTATATTGATTTGTGTTTTTTGTATCATCTTCCTTAGGTAACGGCCGTGAAGCAACTCGACCGAAATGGGTTTCAAGGAAACAGAGAATTCCTTGTAGAGGTTTTGATGTTGAGCCTACTTCACCATCCCAATCTTGTTAATTTGGTTGGATATTGTGCTGATGGGGACCAGAGGATTTTGGTTTATGAGTTCATGGCCAAAGGTTCCTTGGAGGATCATCTTCTTGGTACCATTTCCGACAATTCATCAAAATATATTAGAATTCCCATATGAAAACATCCCAGCTCGTAGATAGTCCTCTAAAAACATTGTAGTTAACTGCATATTTCATTTCAGAAAATAGAAAACCAGGTGATCTCAAACATCGGATTTATAACAGCCTTTACGTGTTTTTTAATGTAAATGTTTCACTTTTTGATAACCAAAATCCAATTCGATGCCTTGAGTTTTCTTTTATCCATCTCTTGAAAAAACTGAAGGTGATTTATCTTGAGTTTGCCTTACCAAAATTTTCTATACTGGGTTCTGAAGTTGGAGCCTCTTACTCTCAGATATAGCTTCAGATAAACCGCCTCTGGACTGGAAGACAAGGATGAAAATCGCCGAAGGAGCAGCAAAAGGACTGGAATACTTGCATGAAACCGCCAATCCTCCCGTGATATACCGTGATTTCAAAGCTTCAAACATATTGTTGGATGAGGAGTTCAATCCAAAGCTCTCTGATTTTGGTCTTGCAAAGTTAGGTCCCACTGGGGATAAATCTCATGTTTCCACTAGAGTGATGGGAACCTATGGTTACTGTGCTCCTGAATATGCCCTTACAGGACAGTTGACGACGAAATCAGATGTCTACAGTTTCGGTGTCGTGTTTCTGGAGATAATCACTGGAAGAAGAGTTATAGACAATGCAAGACCAACAGCAGAACAGAATCTAATTACTTGGGTATGCTTTTATATGTAGCATTAAGTTAATGTTTTACAATTCTTGATGCTATTATGGACATTTCTTCGATATTTGATCTTGATATTAGTGAAGAGATATTTAAATTTGATTTTGTGATATGTGATGTAAATGCTGATATCTTGATCCAAATTTTGAAGAACTTCTTTAAACTTCTTATTCTGTAACATCATCAGTATTGATATTTTTGTGTACGACACCAAACTACGAATTCAAAAACTCGAACAGAAGATCTATATTCCGAACTTTTTTAGCCTTGGTTAACTCTCAACCATGTTTACTTCATTGCAGGCACAGCCACTATTCAAAGACAGAAGGAAATTTACACTAATGGCAGATCCAAAGCTAGAAGGAGATTACCCAGTGAAGGCTCTGTATCAAGCTCTGGCAGTGGCAGCCATGTGTTTACAAGAGGAAGCAAATACTCGGCCATTGATCAGCGACGTGGTTACGGCTCTTGAATATTTAGCCGCAAACAAGGATGTTGATGCAGACGTAGATGGCGAATCAGATTCGGGATCCGTGTCAGGATCGGAATTGGGATCAGGTTCAGCTTCTCCTGATAGAAGTAGTAATAATGGAGATAAAAATGTTGATGTGGAGGGTGATGGGAGGTGATTTGGAAATTTGACTAAACAGATAAAAAGAGACATTGTGCAGCTCCTGAAAATTGTAAATGGGGAAAGCTTGGCTCCCCTTTTCCTTCATTCTTTGTAATATTTCCAATATGACAAGGCCATTTTAAGGATATTGGAGTAAATGTGCAAAATGAAGTTGTAATAAGTGAGATGACGTAAATATTCTTTGCATCTTCGTGTTTGGGAGTTTTAAGGTTATGGGGTAGAAATTCGAACTCATGATCTTTTGGGGGAAATTGGGGTTTTTGACCCCACCAATAGTTCAAATTGGATAAATGAACCCCTTTCAAAAAAACCTAATTTTTGACCCCATCTCTACTTAATTTTGAACCCACCTTTAGTGAAAAGACAAATATACCCTTATTTATGATACATTAACTTCCCCATTAACTTCCACCCAACCATTTCACCAAACTTTTAACCTCATATTTTACTTATGTTTTGAGTTTGAAACAATCCAAAATTTTCACACCATCCAAACTCCTCACAGATCACGTTTTTTAAAATCCGGGAAAGAAACATTGTCACGTGTTTGATCATTGTCCCCACACTATCTAAAATTGTTGTCCCCACATTTTCACATTTGAAGAGTTAGAGGTACGTTAACAAAAAAATTTCTGAAATGATTTGAAATATTTTTCATTCATACATTTTCACTTGGCTTCTTGGAAAAAGAAAAAAAATGCAGTCGGTATCCCGGACCAAGTATTTTTCAAGAAAGATGGTTCGGGAGTGAACCGGGATACATCCCGGACCAATCTTGAAGCACTGTGGTTCGGGATATGTCTTGGACCAAGACTGGTCCGGGATATGTCTCGGACCGGTCCGGGATGGTCCGGGATGACATGTATTTTGTTATTTTTTTACCACTTTTTTTTGGACGATATTCTTATCTCACTTGACTTTATCTATTTGCAGGATGCCTTGTGTTTTCATAACATTTGGTGGAGAATGGAACGATAGTGAAAAAGATTACGTTGGTGGTCGCACGAGAGGATTTACAGTGGATAGTACAACCACGTACAGAGAATTTCTAGGTCACGTGTATAGATTGAGTAATATAAACCCCCTTCAGTTCGATATTATAATTAGACGCGTATATCATTTTAAAACTAAAGTTTGTGTAATGAAGATAACTGACGACGATGACCTGAATTTTTTTTTAACTGGTGAAGATGTTTCTGAATCGCCTATATACATATCTACTACGCCAAAGCAGGTACATGAGAATGAAACGTACATGCCTTCTTTCCCATATCATGTAGGCCAAAACGTGTCATCGAGTTGTATGCCCACAGCTTGTATTCCCCCATTCCAGAGACCCACAGATTCGGTACATTCATTTCCTTCCTCATCATCGAACCCCTCTTCTTCCCAACAACCACACCCC